TATAAAATTCCGACAATATTTGGTTTAATATTTTGACGATTTACATATTTATTGGCTTTACAATATTTTGCTGCGTGAAAGTAATTTTATCTTTAATAATAATTTGATGATTTAAAGGTTTTCAACGTTAGTTAATCACAAGTATATTTTTACATACGTTTAAAGTTGTTCCATCCTTTGGTGAACTCTTGGTCAACATCTGTACACGTCTAAGATAAATGTTGTACTGAATAAAATTATAAAATATGGGAAATAAAATTGATTTCTTTAAATGCTTTCATTTATGCACAAAGGAATTGAGTATTAGGAACAAAATCAAATATTTAAACCTCAATATCTTTGCGATGTTGTAAATCTTTGATATTTCTAAATCAGATTATTTGATTTAACAGAATTCATAGTTTGAAATATCTAAGGTCTGCAACATTTGGTTTCAAAGATAAAGTGATTAGAAAATCATAGTTTGTGGCAAAGACTCAATTCCTTTTAACCATTCTTACTTAAATACCATTATTTGCAGGTTTCCTTGTTTCAATTGTAAATTCAGAATTAAAACATTTTGTAGAGAAAATGTATTTAATCATCTGCGTTATAAAACAATCAAACAAAAAATATCCACAAACAAAGTTTGCAACTTAATAATGGGATACCTTTAATAACGATTAATTTTTCCACTAAACGTTGTCGACACTTTTAATTTTATGCTTATTAAATGTGTGTTTGTACAGAAAACAATATTTGCTTGAACCACAATTGAATTTGTCTCCCATTTCTTAATATTTATCTGAAATGCATTGAAAAAAGTTTACATAATTCCACGAAACTTGGAATTTTAACTGTTTTCATTCCTAACTTTCTTATTGAAGAGCTATTGAGAAGATCGAAAATGTTTTGAATTACTAATATATAAGCAGAGAAGTTTGTTTTTATCATATTGTGTGTATAAATCAATACTGGAGGAGCAACAAGGTCACAAACAGCTTCCAATAATGTCCATTTCATTTTACCCAGTCCTAAAGGTTATTTTGCAGTAGTATTACACAGATAACAAAATGTACAACAACAATTTATTATGACAATTCACTTACTCATACGCTATTCTAGGACTGCTTAAAATTCCTAAAGTTTCTTGCACCAACTCAACACTCTAAAATAAGTTTTATTATAACTACAAAGAGCATTGACACAATCATCAGAATTATGTGGTACATAAAATAAATTAACAATCATCTAATTAATCTACAACAATTAAAACAAAGTTAAATTATAGTTTCCACTCTGGTTGAAATTTGCGGATTTCGAAAAAAAAAATTTTAAGTTTAAATAAAATTTTCATTTCCTAAAAATATAACTTGATTATCTGCCTTCAAACATTAATTTATAATTATTCATCACAATATTCTCTGCTTTCAACCTTAAGAAACGTTGTTTCTTATATTCCAATAGAGAACTTCTCTTTTTACGGATATTTAATGTTAGTATACCTTTGAAGTGCTCTGAGGTCGTGGAATAGTTTTTCTTATAAATTCAGAAACTTCACCATGATTAATTATCTAAAATAATAAAAATAAATTTTAGGATTTTTTTTTATCAACTACAAACTTTAATAACTATATTGTGGAAGACGATGCCTGGCCGCGTTAAACAAGTTCCACAAGATTCAACAGAATGGGATAGAACGGATACGGGGCATAGTACTCATGAAACATGTGATATCGATATTGACTCATGTTCTGAACCCTCTAGTAATAAGTTATAAGAAATATAGATACTGGAAGTTATTTATGTGTTTTCATTAGAGTCTGACTCACGTCCTCTATAATATTATTATATAAATATTTATTTGCATTTCCTATTTTATATAGTTTTTAAATATAAGCTT